CCGGCAGCTCGATGTCGTCGGCCGTGAGCCCGTCCTCAATGTGTTTGTCGATGAGCTCCTTCTTGCGTTTCGAGGTGCGGCCGAGAGCCTTGTCGATCTTGGCTTCGCGGCGGAGCTCCTCGAGCTTGGCGAGATCGGCCGGGGTGAGGATGGAGGTTGTGGCGAGTTTGGAGATGCGGTTGAGCTCAGCCTCCGCAGCGCCTGCTTCGGTGGAGGTGTCGACGAGTTCGGGGGCTTCGTCGGCGTCATCCTCTTTCCGGCGCTTCTTTTTGGCTGGCTCGTCGTCGTCCGAGTCGCTGCTGACGTCAATCCAGCCACTGGAGGACTCGCTATCGGTGGAGGCAACCTCCCACTCGTCCGAGTTGAAGCCGTCGTCTTCCTCGTCGTCTTCCTTCCTTTCGGCATCCCCATTTTCCAGGGCCTGTTCCTCCTGTTTCTTTTTCTTTTGTTCCTCTTTGTACTGTTCGAGCAGCTCGATACCCTCGATGCCGCCCTGCTCTGCCTCACCGAACTGCCGCTGCTTGACGGCTCCCGACCGCAGACCTATCGTAGCTTGCTTTCCACGGTACTTCTTCTGCAGCAGTTCGGGGTAGACCTCGCGATAAAGAGACTGCAGGCCCTTCGCCGCCATTACCACGCCCTTGTCTTTGCTCCTCTGATACAATACAAGATCCTGCAAGAGGGTCTCGGTCATGCAAAGAGGCTGCCGAAGGGCCACCTCGCGGATGGCGTTGATGCCAGCGGAGCACACCTCGGCGGCGGACGCTTCCGAGACGAACTCGTTAGCGATTTTCACCACCAACGGCTCAATGACATCCGGAGGCACCAGGTCATGTGTTGCTTGGGCCAGCGACGCCAAGAATGACGTGACGCTCAGTTGCTTCGGCGTCAGATACCGGACGAACCAAGAGTAGAGGGAGATGATGGTGAGCTTGTGCAGACCGACAAGACGAGTCACCAACTGCAGAATGAGCAACTTGTTGTCGAGCGAGAACTTGTTCTTGGTGTTTTGCAGATGCTTCTGGAACAGCTTCTCGGCGAACCCTTGGGGGTCGTGAATGAGATGGAGGGCTGAGAAGTTCAGGGGATGTGGTGCGTTCTTTTTGCGGTCATGCCTGTTCCAGGTTAATTATGGGCCGGGACGAAATGGAGGAAAACGCAACCTACTTCTTGATCTTGTCGACCGCCCTCTCGTACGCCTTTTGGCGCTTCTTGGTCTTTTTGTTGATGGTCCCTTGGTGCTTGACCTTCTTGATGTCAATGTCCTCGTCGCTCGACTCATCTTCGAGCTCCTCCCGCTCCTTGTCTCCGCCCAAGAAGAACCTCACGCCACCAATGACGACCTTTTCGTTATCGCTGAGGCAGGCCTCCTTCATTACGTCGCACGGCTTCGCGTCGGTCCAGATCTGGCGGCGCCATAGCTCGCGGGTGATGCGCGTGGCCCACATGCCCTTGGTCGAAGTGCGATCCGAGGTGACAAGGTTGTGTAGTACGGTTTGGATGGTCCGGTTGAGTCGGTGGTTCGTTGTCTTGGAGTTTGACTCCCTCAAGTCACTGATGATCTTGGTGTACAGCAGCGACCGCAGGGTCTTGCTCGGGGTCGCGATGAGGATCGGGAAGAGGGTTGTCAACAGGCTGGCCGAGTCGATTACATCCTTTCTCCGGAGCAGCACCAAACTGCCCACCACCTTCTCCCGCAGTTCCTTGTCGAGGGTCGCATGGTGCTGGTTTAGGAGCTCTTTGAGGTGGTCAGGGTACGGGGCGGCGAGCTCGGGGTAGAGGTCTGCGACGTGGGCTACGAGGTCAACGAGGTCGTGAAACTTTTTGGTGTCTTCGCTGGAGACAGTCGACGGGGAAGAGACGAAGATCTGGCGTTGCGCATCGTAGGCAAGCCACTGGTCGTGGAATTCCTGCGCATACGACCTGCAGTTTCGGTCAGCGATTGACGAATGCGCAGTGCAATGGTAGGGGACAAACCTAGGGTCTCTCCGAATCTTGTACTGCAGATTGACTAAATCGGCCTCGACCTTTTCGAGCGCGGCGACCTTTCTTTTGACCATGTTGTCGACTGTCGGGAGGCTATCGAGTTCATCCACGGCCTGTCTCGAGCCGAGATTTTCCAGTCTTTCAGCATGCTCGTTATCGTTATCGCTACTTTTCAGTGGGTCCTCGGCAATGCGGGGCCCTTGTTAGCACCCGGCCGTCTGGCCAAAAAAGCCGACGAGAAGAACGAAAAGAAAGTCATTCGGAAACCCAAAATCTACTTTTATTTGGTTTGTTTGTTTCATTTAATCTGTTTTTAATTTCTTTTGTCCAAGTTTCTTTACCTCTTCCATTTTCTTCTTTTCCTTGACTTTCTCTTTTCCTGATTTCTTCTCCCCTTTCGAGTTGGCTTTTTTTGGCCAGAGGTGCTGACGCACAGGCCATGGCCCGACGCGGTGGCAACAATGTCACAGGCAAAACTTGGATGTGGGCTTCTAAATAGGGACGTGGAGTCCTGAAAGCATATAAGGATCGGGCTCAAAGGGCCCAGGGGCAGAACAACTTCGGGACCCTTGATGCAGCCTTAGGAATTGGCCAAGAAGCGGCAGGAAAACCCTGACCAAACCATCCTTCTCAAAGGCAGATGGCCCTTTACTGGCGATGGCAGTAGCTCCCGTCGGTATCGTCGGAGGAGGAGGGGGATGGTTCATCGTGATTATCATCGAGAATCTCGTCCCAGTCTTCTGCCTTTTCATCCACATCCTGAGACGGCTGTAGAGCATCATCTAATTGCTTCGGAGTGTAGGGTGCTGCCTAGAGCGCTACTAGGAGTGCCGATGGGAGAGGTGTTAAATGGCAAGCGAACGGTACATCAACCTTGGTCTGGCGTCTCTTAGCTAGGCTGATGTTGGTGAAGAGTGTTCTCCAAAGGGGACGACGGGAGTCTGCGGATGTGTATTTCTCTGAATGTAACTGTCAGTGCAGAGTGTATATGCAAGTGGAAGAGCCGGAGCACTGACCCCTATCTGAGTCCTCATCGAGATTTTTATTTAACTGCTTTAAGAAGACAGTAGTGTACTGCGTCGCAATCGGTTGCTCGGCGGCAGCAGTGGCAGCTCGACGAGGGCATGTAGCTGAATGGGGGCCAGAAATCCTCATGTAGATGGAGGATAACTGGCCTACCGTTTGGGGACATGATGTCAAGAGACTCGCCCTGGCCCAAGTCTCGTGGCCGAGGCGGCGAGGGGAAGGATGCTCCGGGGGCGGGGGGGATGAAGTCTCATGGCCGAAGCCTGACGAGGCCTAGCTGCTGGGCAGACTGAGCGACAAGGGAAGGCTGCTCGCGCGCGGGGGGGAAAGTCTCGTGGTCGAAGCCAACAAAGCTCAGCTGCCGGGGCTGACTGAGCGACGAGGGGGGCGATGCTTGGGGGGTAAGACAAAGAGAGGTTCCAACACCCAGATCCATCATCCACCGGGTAGGAATGAGCGAAGGAGAGCGCCTGAACGTAGCCATAACGTCGAACTGATGCTTTCCAGCATCTGGCTGGATGTAAGAAGATTGATCATCACCCAAAAAGTGGGATAGCTCCAAGCCCCTTTCGCACGATCTTCGCATACCCATAGCCTTTAGGAAAGGGGTATAAGAGCGAAATCTTAACCACTAGACCACAGGGTCCTTTTTGGAACTACACTTACAAACCTAGAATGATATACCCGAACCTTCCATACATAACCCCAACCCTAGCGCGCACACCCCGAACAACTGACAGACACCTCTTTTCCCCGTGTACCTCTTTTCCCCTCATCTACATCACTTGAGCTCAACAATTACAGAGCATATAGCGGTTGCCTTTGCTATACTAGGTGCTTCTTTCTTTGGCGGAACCTTCTGTGTTCTGTCCTAATAGAGGATGTCTTTTTAGCCTTTCCGTTTCCGCGTTGCAGTTGCAGGTTGTATGGTTAGACTCACGGGCAATCTTAGTTTGGCGGTCAGACAACATATTAACCTCCAATTTTCCACGACATGCGAAAAGTTCATGACAATATGCAATTTCATCTAGACGGAGGGCTGCAATAGCTTGTTTCATGCCGAATGAGTTCGATGCTGGTGCTTCGTCCCCTTATCTAAGGTAGGTAACAGATCAGTGTACCTGAGGGTACCTAAGTTGTCGATGCGACATTTGGCCGCCAATTCGCAGACCAGGTCCTGCATTCACCTGTTCGATACACTGCAATGTATTAAAACAGGGGGGCTTTAACCTTAGAGAGCTAGATACAAACTCGGTCAATCCTCACATCTGCGTGGCACTATTGAGCAGAAGGATGCGTGACCTAGACTGTGAAATGCTTGTCCGACTGTCGTAACACCAATCCTTCGGATGCCAACGATCTGCTAGATATGGGGAGGAACCACGAGCTTCAACTACGTTTGGCACGAGGCCAACTCTGTACAGGCGTGGCTTCACGCTTTCATGTACTGCTTACTCCCGGTTTCGTAGGATCACCATGTGGTGAAAAACTGTAGGCGATGATGCTATTGCCTTGCGGTGTTGTCTGACCTCCTTTACCAGCTACCAGAAAGGAAGCCGACTCAGGGGCTTTATGTATGCAGCAAAAACGCAGTGCGGAAATGGAAGACGAAAGACCCTCCTCCCCTGGACAGACCCGTCAGAGCGCAAACTTGGTATGCCCCAAGCCACGCCTTAGGCCATCACACACGAGGCCTCCAATCCCTCCCCAGTAGGACCGCACTCAGGGGTAGGGGCATGGGCACAGGGCAGGGCGCTTAGAAGCAGGGTTCGTTCGAGTTACATGCCTAAAAATAACAAGAGTTTATTAATCTCCGTTGCGCTACGCTTTCAAGCGATTCAGGTCTAGGCACTCTAAGATTGTAGATTTAACTAGGTACGTCGTTGTTATTTCGAATCAAGTGGAATAGCACATGCGCGCTAGGGTTGGGGTTATGTATGGAAGGTTCGGGTATATCATTCTAGGTTTGTAAGTGTAGTTCCAAAAAGGACCCTGTGGTCTAGTGGTTAAGATTTCGCTCTTATACCCCTTTCCTAAAGGCTATGGGTATGCGAAGATCGTGAGTTCAAGCCTCACCTGGGTCACGTGTTTTGCTTTTTGTTAATTGATCTTTTTATAATGTTGTCAATGATGTAGGAATGATAACTGCGTTTTTAATCGCATTCAATTTAATTCGTGGTGGTGTTGTTGACGGCTGCGATGCGATCATTTTGGCGGGTGGGCACAGACTTTTTAACCCTTATTCTAATTGGCCGCAGCATTTAAGCTATTTAGTAGCGCCGAAGGGACCCTAGGAACGTCCTTGAATTTCGGCCTCAAAAGTCCCAAAGCTTGCGTTGATCGAAAGCTCTCGCAAAGCCCTATCTAGCCACACCACGTGCACCGACGCGCAATCCGCAGCGCGGCCGCAGTAGGCGTGGAAAGAAGGGCGATCCGGGACACGCAGTCGCCCTGGAAATCTCTATCGCCCACGCACGGACCCACGAGCTACCCGACCCACCCACAGTTACCCAGACGACCACGCCCCCCTGAACCCCTGAGTGGAGGCGGGATGGCCGGCCCTACTGCCCCAGTCCAAAGGGGAAGAAGTGGGCTAGAGCAGTCCCGACACTTGCCCCCCACCCCGCCCCTCTCACCCCCACCCTCCGACATAGAGGTTATCAAGAAGATGGTTGACGAGCTGGTGGGACTAGCAGACCCCGAGAAGAAAGGGACAGCCAGAGGCATGGGACAGGACCTGCTAGCAGCCGTCCGGAAGGTGCACAACGCGTCTCAGTCACAGACTGGAAACATCTCGCTTGCCAACCTCCGCAAGGTGGTGGCCGAGGAAATGAAGGCAGCCGTCAACGGACCCGGAGCCCAGGACAGAGGATCCTGGGCCGCAGTGGCCGCTCATGGAGCTGCCCCCTCTCAGCCGCAGCCTAACACGCCGACAAAGATAGTGCCGACCCGCATAAACAAGGAGATTCTAGTCAGAGGCAGAGGAATGCCAGCCGATCTCGCCAAACGCACCCCGCAAGAAACCATCCAGGCCATCAACCGGGTGTCTATCAAGAAGGGAGCAGTTGCGGCCCGAAGGCTCCCCAGCGGCGATACAATCGTCACATTCCAGAACGCAGGCGCGAGAGATTGGCACTCGATGAACACCAACTGGATCAAGGAGGCTTTCGGAGAGCAGGCCCAGGAGAGCAAGAGAACCTTTGCAGTCCTGCTAAAGGGCGTGTGGAAGAAGGACCTCCAGGGGGTCACCGAGGAGGAATTCGGGAAACAAACAGGCCTCCACACAGTCGATAAAGTGAAGTTCAGAGTGCCGAGACACAGGGAGGCGACCCGGGCAACAGTGCTGGTTGCTTTAACCTCCCAGGAGGAAGCACGCAAGGCGTGCGACGAGGGAGTGATCTGGAGGGCTCAACTACTGGACTGCGAGCCTTACTGGGCTGCCCTTAGCCCAACACAGTGCTACAAGTGCTGGAAGTGGGGACACACACAACATCATTGCAAGGCTACCCCATTGTGCCCGCGCTGCGGGACGAAAGCCCATGGAGAGGGCGGCAGGGACGGCGAGAACCAGTGCCCTACTCACAAAAACGAAATCCCACTCCGATGCCCGGCCTGCGGAGGAAGGCATCCGGCGTGGTCAGGAGAGTGCCCGGAGAAGTCGAGGACCCTCGCCAAGGCCAAGGAGGCCTACCAGTTCCGGCCACGGACTTATGAGACCGCAGCGGCGAACTCTGCCAGCACGGCCCCTACGAGAGCTCCCGCGTTTAACTTCGAGGGCGAGGAGAGGGACGACAACAGCTATCAGGTGGTAGGCAGGAAGAGGTTGAGAGGAAGACCGACGAATGCGGCTGCGGCCCAACGTCAGGCTCTCTTAGACCCCCAGCAGACCAGGATCAACTTCGAGGCTCCGAGGGTGCAGTTCGCAAACCCGGTAGTCAACGGTGTCTACACCGCCGCTCCGCCGCCCCGAGCGCCCGAACCGGCTACCGGACCAACGCCTGCCGTCGCCGCCAACCCTGCGGTCACTGCTACTCCGAACCAACGCGACCCCGAGGGGGACACTACGATGGACTCGATCACCGTCGCAGGCGATGAAAATTAAAATTTTACTCTGGAACACCGAAGGAATCAAGCAAACACTGGAAGTGTTGCTGGAAGAGGCCAAATACGACCTCTTGGCTGTGCAAGAACCGTGGATTAATAAGGCGACGAAGTCTACATACTGCCCCCGGAGCAGCAGATACCACCTGGTACACAAACTCGAGGGGCGGGCAGCGATATATGTAAGCAAAAGATTTGAAATCAGTCAGTGGGACTCCGAAGCCGCGGAGAATTGGTGCCGCGTGTGGTTCCCAGAGGCGGACCTCGGAAGGGAAGACCCCGGATTGGAGCTTTGGTCCATATACAACCCTCCCGGCGGCGAGAACGTACCGAGAGCCCTGCAAAGGCGGCCAAGGCCAAGCCACCCGGTGGTTCTGGCAGGTGACTTCAACTTGAAGCACCCACTGTGGGACGATTTCGGGCGCTACGACAGGGAGTCTGAAGACCTACTGCAGCTGGGTCTCCTGTGGGACCTCACCATCAGGACCCCAAGGGGAGCAACAACACGAGCCCCTCAGGGGCGACAGCGGGGCCGTCCGTCAACTATAGACCACTTCTGGGCCTCGGGAAACCTCCAGACAACATACTACGGGGAGGAGTGTCGCGGAAAGTCAGACCACTACCCACAGGTGCTCGAGATCGAGGGGAGGCTGGGGCCGAAGCCAACCCAGCCGGACGGCTGGGCCTGGAACAAGATGGACAGAGAGAGGGTGAAGGCTGAAGCAGCGTTGCTATGCAAGGCCATGGGGCTCACGGACCCGGGACCGGACGGACTACCGGCCAGGACCCGGACAGTCGAGGGTCTTGACAAAGCTTTCGATAGCCTGGTTGAGTGGCTCACCTGGGTCGCGGGGGAAAGCACTCCACGGAAGAAGGCGAGCTGCGGCTACAGCTCTCCCTGGTGGACTGTGGAGGTGCAGCAGGCCGCCCGGGAGGCCAGGAGAGCCGAGAGGTTGGCGAAGGAGACTAGGGCAGAGTACTGTTGGGAGGAGCTCAGCGAAAGGCTCAAGGACCTTGCCAGAACAACGCGCGAAGCACGGACGAGGGCTTGGAGAAACAGCGTACAGGAAGCAAGCGAGGCAAAGAAGCCCGATCAGATGTGGAGCTTGGAAAGATGGGCTAGGCTGCGGAGCTTTTTGCCGCCAGAACCACCGAGGCTGCCGGAATTTAAGGACTCTTCCGGACAGGTAACGGCCAAAACGCACGACCAGAAGGCCAGCGCGCTGGCCGAGAGGTTCTTCCCGGACCCACCGGCCAACCTGACGGACGTGGAAGACCCAGCCTTTTTGGGCAGCTGGAACCCGGGCTTCGACGTTGTACAAGCAGTGACGCCGACCGAGATCACGGAAGCGATAGGAAGAGCAAGCCCCTGGAAGGCGCCAGGCGAGGATTTGCTCCCGATGGGCCTTCTGAAGGCGTGCGGAGCACCGTTAGCTGAAGTGCTGGCCCTTCTGGCGACAAGGTGTCTGGAGCTAGGATGGTTCCCGAACCGTTTCAAGAGGGCGAAGACTGTAGTACTACCGAAACCAGGAAAGGCTCCGCCGGTGTATCAGACCCCGGGGGGATACAGGCCCATTGCTCTGCTGCCAACCCTAGGGAAGGTAATAGAGTCAGTGGTCGCCAGGAAGGTCACTCAAACTGCAGAAGTCAACGGCCTCTTACCAGATGAACAAATGGGGAACAGAGCACACCGCTCCACAGAGCTGGCTGTCCGGCTAGTAGTAGCCCAGGTCCAGGAGGCGTGGAGACAGAAGCGTGCGGCGTCCCTATTGCAACTGGACATCTCAGGAGCCTTTGACACGGTCAACCACACCCGACTGCTAGCAACTTTGCGAGAAATGGGCTACCCGAGGTGGCTGGTCCTCTGGACGAGAGACTGGTTGACTGGTCGAGAGGCCACCCTTCTTTTCGACGGCAAGACGGCGGCACCGACGGCAATTCGGGCAGGGGTCCCCCAAGGCTCACCCCTTTCCCCTGTTCTCTTCATCCTCTATATTTCCTCGTTATACAAGCAGCTAAAAGACGAGCACCCTCACTTGGCTATAACGGGGTTTGCGGATGACACCAACCTCCTGGTGTTTGGTCGAAACCCCGAGGCCAATGTCCGGCAACTGGAGGCGGCGTGGGAAACATGCATGCGATGGGCGGACAGTCGGGGGATGAAGTTCGCCCCGGAAAAGAGCGAACTGATCCATTTCAACAAGGGACGACGGCAGTGGACAAACCAGCTGGAACTCACTAACCCAGGGGGAGGCACCAGCCCCGTCAGACCGAAGGAGTCTGCCAGGTTCCTGGGAGTCTGGCTGGACCGGAAGCTCAACTGGAAAGCCCACCTTGCGGCGGTGGAGAAGAAGCTGAGGACCCAGAGCTATGCCCTGTCGAGGCTAGCGGCATCAACGTGGGGACTGGGTCTAGCCAAAGCGCGAGAAGTGTACACAAAGTGCATCCGGTCAGCGCTGGCCTATGGCGCATCGTCGTTCCACATTCCCACGGATGTGGGAGGCGAACCGGTGAAGAAAGGCATCACCAAGGCCCTCGGGAAGGTCCAGAACAAGAGCCTGAGGATTGTGGCGGGAGCCTTTAAGTCTACCCCCATCCGTAACCTCGAGACAGAGACGTGGGTACCACCGTTGGACTTATACCTAAACAAACGGCTTGCAGATTTCGAAAACCGACTCCAACAACCCGATCTGGACGACGGCCAAGGCGGCAAAAAGACGGCGGGGAGCGTTATCCTTACCGCCTGCCGCAAGATACAGCAGAGACTCAGCTCGAGGAGGGGCAACAGGGGCCGACCGCGAACCTTGAGGCCTCAAGGGCCCACGGCGGTAGAGAGAGCCGCGGGCACGATCATGCGCTGGACGGGGGGAACCATAGACACGGACAAGGCAGTAGAAGAGGCCTGGAGAGCGAGGTGGTTAAAGGAACGGGACGGCAGAGCAATCACCAGGCCGGCGGACGACTTTGACCATCAGCGGGAGAC